AAAAGACACTAGTGTTCGGTCGAAACGGTGGAAACAAAATCGTCACTCCCAGAATAACTATGCAAAATAACGATCTAAAGTCGAACCATTCGAGCCACAATATTAACATCAAAATGACTTTCGTTGCATTTGACAATGATAAACTTACCGTAAAGCCGTGTTATTCTCGGTCGCTAACGTCGGTGTAATCCACCATTTTATTTGAGTGTTTGCCACCCGACTCCGCCCGGTGACGTCATCATGTGCGCCATAGAAGGAGGTCTGTGATTCGTTGACTAAAATCGTCGATAGTGGGTCTCGTTGAAATCTCGTTACATAGGCATCGGCTCAGATGTAGGTAGGGCGGAATTAAAAAAATCACAAAATCAAAATCAAAGTAAAATAATAAAATAAAATAAAATAAAAGGGCATTAATAACAAAAGTAATAAAAAATAAAATTAAAATAAGTTTATAGCCAAAATAATTAAAGCCCGTACACTACATCAGATTTTAATCAGATTGAGTCCCTTTGTGAGGGGACTGTGGCCAGGTAAACAAAAATCTGGTAAAATTAATTTTCAAAACTGAAACAAAACTGAAGGGCACAAATTCTGCAGGTTTCGACAATTCGTCTACTGAGTAGCTGTACAGTGACGAAATGAGTGGAAAAATAGCTCCGCAAGCTGACCAGAAACATATTAGTGCGTAATTCATTTGCACTACGGAAGTTCTCCAGATACCCACAATTCAATGCATTACAAAGAACAAGATGGCGGAAACTTTAAAGTTGTGTGCAGGTTCTCTGGGATTTACACTATTTTCATTGCTTTATTCACTGTATTCATGAACCATATCTGCCAGGCTAGTGGTGGATGGCTAGTTATAAGTTAACATGTAAGTCCGTATGGGTTTGAGGTTCGACGTTGTATTAAATCCGGAAGCCGCTGAGAATCGTTCGCTCACTCTCGGACCTGACGATAATTTCTGATCCAAATATTCGAGATCTACAGAAAAAATATTTATTGAAACATATTCGTGGCGTTGGTGTGGACGAAGAGTGCGGACTTTGGTCCACGTCGCCCTTTTGAATATTACGCTGGTAAATCATTAAATAACAATGTTTCAATCCCTTGAAACTTAAAGGCTGATGGTCGTCGCGCAGCGCGTGTTCGAAGTTAACAAACAATGTATTTTACATGCGTTGTGTACGCCGCCATGAGTCTAGCTGCGGTTCCGTAGCTCTTTGGTGCGACCTACAATCGAATTTCGCCCTAACAATTTCATTTGGACGTCTTTTTTTTAATTTTGTTGTTGTACGTCGAACATAGAGCTACGGGATCTATCACCGTTTAAAAACAGAAATCTGGCATACGTAAATTAAATCGCTTTTGCTTTCGATTACGATGGTGTGACATACCTTTATTGTGAATTGATAGCTGGATGAATAACATACAAACTTTTGTTTGCAATTTGTGTTTATAAATATGCAATAATTTGTGATATTTTACAATTACCGCGGAAACCAAGCAAATTACGAGAAAACGACAGCCATTGACATCCCACACTCCCTAGCGCAGAATAAATGTAATCTCGTTTGGCGGTCATGTGATACAGTGGTGGAAGAATAAAACTCACTCTTCCCGTTATTCTAATTGTTCCAACAAAGCAATCACATACAGTATTTATAATTGTATGATTTTTGTTTAATAATAGAAACTAGTTGCATAAACGCAATTTATCTACTGATTTCGGTCACGTGGTACAAAATTATAGGTCTCACGTAATTTGCTATAGGTCTCGCGTAACTCTGTGGTCCAAAATGGCGTCTTTCGTCTTGTTATTTTTCTGCGACTCGGTGTACGGTAAATAAAGTCAATTTTTTATGACCACCGTCATCATTTCACAGCGCAAATAGGTTCTGGTCATTGTTTGGAAGTAAATAAACATAGTGAGTACTTTCGAAGGTCTTAAAATGTGATTTTCGCGACGACCAAATTTGGCATGTAGATTTTAACCGGTATTCAGTCGCACAAGGCCCCATAGTCCTATGGGCCGGCCAGAGTCAGTCACGTAAATAATGCGGTCGGCAACATAGGGCTATGAATCCACAGCTACCATGAGTCACGATCACCACACTTTAGTTGTCATGCAGGGCGTATCAGAAATTTATGTGAACAAACCATGTATTTTAGTTTACACGCTTTGTTTACGTCGCTATGAGTCCGTTACCGAACAGAACGTGACGTGGCGCGACACGATGCGAGGACTACTGTTTTTTAACCAAACAGATCTATTACCACTATTCGCCCAGCTGTCAAATCAACCAATGGAATCACATATTATGAAATTGAGCATATATAGCCAATCACATCTCTTCTATTGTTGTAATGGCTTTGATAGTTTTCAAGTAGCAAAAATTCAACTCTGAAAAGCAACAAATACTGAGTAGCTTCTTAACATCTAAACCGGGTCCCAGTTCGAATCCCAGTAGGATTATTTTTGCCTATCTTTTTTTCTCCATTTTTCAGTGCCCTTTGTATTTCTACTATTCGGTCTTAATTATAAAATTGTTTAAAATACAAATGTTAATTTTTTCAAACATAACGTACATGTGACATGGCCATGCACCAATAAAATAATGCAAGATTACGAGTGACGTCATTGTACCATGAAATCAAAATCCGCACTTAGGATGTTTGCTACTGCTCACGCGCATTCAAGAGCTTGGGATGGCGGTACACCAGTCGCTGTCTCCGGTTGGTGAAACTTCTCTGTTTTTAAATCAAGAGTTTGATAATTTTATCAGCCGCGAGGCGAATAGTGGAAATAGATCTGTTATTCGCACAGCCGGAGGGCGAATAGTGAAAATAGATTGGTTATTTGCACAGCTGTGGGGCAAATAGTGGAAATAGATCTGTTATTCGCACAGCCGCAGGGCGAATGATGAAAATTGATCTGTTATTCGCACAGCCGCAGAACGAATGGTGGAAATAGATCTGTTATTCGCACAGCCGCAGGGCAAATGGTGGATATAGATCTGTTATTCGCACAGCCGCAGGGCAAATGGTGGATATAGATCTGTTATTCGCACAGCCGCAGGGCGAATGGTGGAAATAGATTGGTTATTCGCACAGTTGCAGGGCGAATAGTCACTGCCTTAACAAAAACCCTTTGAAATTTATGGACCCCTAACCTACAGGGAATAGAATATTGAGGCATACGTCTCTTGGTGCATTATGTTCTATAACGGGAGCGTCTACTAGGTGCATGTCCACAGCAGCCCTATCACAGGTTTTCATGAAAATGCCTTCATATAATTATGAGCTGAAATCCAAGGTGCATTCTTTTGAAACAGTATGACATCTTTCAAACATGAACAAAATCAAATGTATTTAAATATAAAATCCCAGAAAGCCAGACAACATGATTTTTCATGGTCAGCATGTGCGCTGTGCAAAAAAAAAACAAAAAACAGTCAATAACTTTTTCCCCAGACTTTGGACAGTTGTATCATTTATGCAAGGGCATGCGTGTATGGTATTTGGATTTTTAGTCTTCAAGTGACTATTATTGGCCAGTGTTCCTCTGCCTTGGTAGGTGATGTTGAGAGCTTTTTGTATACATTTGTACTTATATTTGAATTAAACTCTTTGATTTGCAGAGTATATAATACAGGCCAAGAATGCAGCTTGTTATACACAGATGAAAATGGGAAAGAACAACTGTGAGTGAAACTTTGTATTAATTAGATGACTGCATGTTCACTAGATGACTCCATATTCACTGGATAACTTCACAAGATACTGGTACTTCACTTTGTATTCACTAGATAAATTCACTATTTGCTTTCTTTCACTAGATGTTTTCGTAATCACTAGATAGCTTCACTTTGTATTCATTAGATGACTATATTAGATGAATTCACTTCATTGGATGACTTTATATTTATTAAATATGCTTTCATAAATCACTGGATGACTTCATTTCACAAGATGACTTCATATTCACTAGATAGCTTCACTTTGTATTCATTAGATGACTATATTAGATGAATTCACTTCATTGGATGACTTTATATTTATTAAATATGCTTTCATAAATCACTGGATGACTTCATTTCACGAGATGACTTCATATTCACTAGGTGGATTTACTTTGTATTCATTAGATGACTATATTAGATAAATTTACTTCATTGAATGATTTTATATTTATTAAAGGGGCACCTTCCAGTTAAGCCTAATCTCACAACAAATTTACTTTCTGGATTAAAATAACAATGGATAACAAAATATAGATTAACATTGTAAATAACATTAACAATAGTGTCCCATGATTCTTTGGTGCAATCCAAAGGACTGAGCAGTTCCCTTTTAAATATGCTTTCATAAATCACTAGATGACTTCATTTCACAAGATTACTTCATATTCACTAGATGGCTTTACTTTGTATTCATTAGATGACTATATTAGATGAATTTACTTCATTGGATGACTTTATATTTATTAAATATGCTTTCATAAATCACAAGATGACTTCATTTCACGAGATGACTTCATATTCACTAGATGGCTTTAAATTAATTGTATTCATTAGATGACTATATTAGATGAATTCACTTCATTGGATGACTTTATATTTATTAAATATGCTTTCATAAATCACTAGATGACTTCATTTCACGAGATGACTTCATATTCACTAGATGGCTTTACTTTGTATTCATTAGATGACAATATTAGATGAATTCACTTCATTGGATGACTTTATATTTATTAAATATGCTTTCATAAATCACTAGATGACTTCATTTCACGAGATGACTTAATATTCACTAGATGGCTTTACTTTGTATGCATTAGATGACTATATTAGATGAATTCACTTCATTGGATGACTTTATATTTATTAAATATGCTTTCAAAAATCACTAGATTACTTCATTTCACAAGATGACTTCATATTCACTAGATGGCTTTACCTCAGTTCACTTTTGGAACAAGACAACTAATGTATTTGCTATATTAGAAGCGCATCTCCAATAGAAGAGCATGTAAACCAACAGTTGCATTTATTGTATACTGACTCATTAAAAATATGACTTCAATTTACCATCGACACACCTCTGTCATTTACACATGTGCATGTGCTACTAGTGGAGCAAATCCAGTAATTATCCTCAAAAGTAGATCAGCTAAATATGACAAGGATTTTTCTGAAACTCTATTTTCAAATTCTGTTGATTTTTTAGATATCTCCCTGTTGATAAAATGTCACTAGTCTCTAATAAGAAATATTGTCAGCCCTGGTAATTTAGCAGCGATCGTCTTTGATTTTGACCAGATTAGTACAGTGGCCCATTTTTTGTGTAATGAATGCTAAAAATCACATGAAGTTGCCCCAACATTTTGTGACTTTCCCCGACTAACAAAAACTATATTGCAGAGAGCTGATAGATAACATTGCATTCTAATTTATGTTAACTTTTGGGTTTTATATTTTATTGTTCTTTAGATATGGTATCACACTTGATAGTTATTATAGCACTTGGGGTAATTTCCAGTGTCGTCCAGGAGGTACATTTATTGGTAGGTACCAAATTATAAAGTGACTACATTTATGTTGTTTTTAATTATAATATATAATAAGCAAACTGCACTGAAAATTGACCCTTTTGATGATTGAGACTAAAATCGTGAATCAGGCTGGTGTTGGTACATTTCTTGAAATTTTATTTTGGTGAAAAAAGTGTCAGTGAATTTTGTGAAATTTTGTCTTCATGAATGCTATAAAATTGTGAAAATTTCTAAAAGTGAAAATCGGTTTACAGTATCAATGCGATCATATAGCATAACACCATTATCCAAAGTATGTATCCCCACCCATTCTTTTGAATAATTGAGAACTCAAAATTCATCATTTTTCATATGTGTAGATGCTCTAATAGAAACTGCATCTCCTCTGTTGTAATGCACTATTTCAATACAAGCTGTGGTTTCTAATACAGATTTTACAGTAATATTCAAAATAACAATCCTACTGCTGGGTTTACCACAACTACATTAGTTTGTGAATATGGACTTTTTAAACATAGAAAATAAATTTTTACATTCCAGGCTCACAGAATGTATCTCTGATTGTTTCTGGTTATGGACGTTCCTTGGCTTTAACCCAGTTGTTGAAAGTCAGTGCACAAAATAAGCTGTACATGTTTCAGACTCATGCTGGTGAGTACATCTACAACTTTATCGCTGCAAACAACCTAATTCAAATTGTTCTTGATTTTACTAGAAACAGTTTTATATTTCTAAATACTAGTGAAAACTATTTTTTAGTTCTACTTAATAACATAAATATGATGAGCCATTGTTTTTGTTTTTTTATTCCATGATTACATTCCAATAAAATTTTATAGAAATCATCAATGTTGATCCAAGCGCTGGCAGTACTGAAGGTGGGACTCATTTGACAATTACAGGAAAACACTTTGATACTGATTCTACAGTTTTAGTAGGAGGTAGGTGAAGTCATACTGTTAAATAGACATCTGATTGGGTGGTACATTATACCTGTATAGCTTTTCTATGAAAGGCCCCTTCTCCCCTGGGAATATATAAAGAAGTTGATAAATGATGAGCATGTCAACTGCCATGAGTAAGTTTGATGAATCTGACCATTGGATACATTCCTGTTCTTAGGTGTTCCTTGTATCATTGATGACATCACCACAACCAGCATCACATGTGTGACTGGAGCTCAGCCTGCAGCACAGTCACCATATCCTGGAAATAGAGGACTACTCCGGGAGGTGTGGACTGGCACCACTGTCAACATGTATGATATACAATATTTAGTTGTTTTGAATTGATTAGCAAAACACTGCTTTCATTCTAGGACTGAGCCAGACATCTTATATTAACACCTTGAATTGATTTGTTTTATCTTTCCACCACCAGTATTAGTGAGATTGCAACCCTGAATGACTCGTCATCTGGATATTTTGATGAGATTGTTGTTGATGGATCCAGTGAGTCTGGTTCTGATGCCGGTGACAATTATGTCTCCAGATTGAGTGGATATTTTGTGGCTCCTTATGACAGTGACTTTACATTCTTCATCGTAGCTGATAATGAGGCTCAACTCTACTTCAGTGAGACTGAGAATAGGAGTGATAAGGTATATACTATTAGTGTCTTGTAGACTTATTTGTTCAATTAGAAGTACCATCAATACTCCTTCGAACATTTCAATCTTTCATGGAGTCTAATACTAGTATTAGTTTTTCTTAGTGACTGATGCCTATTCAAGAGTACAATGTTTATTGTAACTAGCGTGAATGGGTAAACTTCCTTTTCGACAATGAGCTGTTATCACCAAAAAAAGTCCGTCAATGCTCAGTTTATCATTCAACAACTACTAACTTTTTTTCGGACTGTAATTTTTCAACAGCTTGTGACATCTATTTTATAACCAAATTAAGGCCTTTCATTTTTTAGGGTACTATTACCAATTTAAAGAAAAATTATTGTCAGTTACAAGAATCGTACTTCCTTCAGTCGTCGTGCTAAGTACTTTTGTGTAAACAATGTATTTTATTTCTTGTTTGTATCACTTAATTGACAAACCAACTGCTGTTCTGTTCCTCATTTGTATTTTTTTTTACAGCAACTGATTGCTTCCTGTTCTTCACCTACATCAAATTGGTTTAGATATGATGAACAGAAATCTGAATTATTCTCTCTCACTGGTGGCACTAAGTATTATATTGAAGCATTGCATAGGGAATACTCTGGTGTAGACTCTGTAAAGATAGGGGTCTTGGTTGATGATACTCCATTTGTACATAGCCAGGTTGAATCTGCTGTGAATGAATTTCAGAGAATACAAATATCGTCTGTGACAAAACAAGAGATTCAGGTGAGTGTAGGAATATAGTACAAAAACACTGTAAGTTGATCTTCGACCATTTTCACTATCATAGCTACTTTTGTAACCTCCCTCTCTGGCTAAAATCTGTTTATCTCATCATCAAATATTATTTTTATTTTTTCCATTCCAGAGTGTCACACTCTTCACTGAAGATGTGTTTCAATTTGTGTATGATGGGATTGAGTCGGATCTTCTGTCACTATCATCTGAGGTTGCTGAGGTAAGTAACACTGGTCATCAGATTTCTTGTGGTATATGTTATGGCTCCCAATAACAATTTTTAGCTGAATTTCCAGTGACATGTCACAACTCCCAGTAACTATTATAGTCATCTGATTTCCTGACATGTCATAACTTCCAGTAACAATGGTCAGCAACTATCCTGTGGCATGTCACAACTCCTAGTAACAATAGTCGTCTGATTTCCTGTGACATGTCATAACTCCCAGTAACAGTGGTCAGCAGATTTCCTGTGACATGTCACAACTCCCAGTAACTATTATAGTCATCTGATTTCCTGACATGTCATAACTCCCAGTAACAATGGTCAGCAACTATCCTGTGGCATGTCACAACTCCCAATACCAATTAGTCATCTGATTTCCTGTGACATGTCATAACTCCTAGTAACAATAGTCATCTGATTTCCTATGACATGTCATAACTCCCAGTAACTATTAGTCATCTGATTTCCTGTGACATATGTCACAACTCCCAGTAACAATTAGTCATCTGATTTCCTTTGACATATGTCATAACTCTCAGTAACAATTAGTTGTCTGATTTCCTGTGATATGTCACAACTCCCAGTAACAATTAGTCGTCTGATTTCCTGTGACATGTCATAACTCCCAGTAACACTGGTCAGCAAGACATGTCATAACTCCCAGTAACACTGGTCAGCAAGACGTGTCATAACTCCCAGTAACAGTGGTCAGCAGATTTCCTGTGACATGTCATAACTCCCAGTAACTGTGGTCAGCAGATTTTTTGCGATTTGTCATATCTCCCAGTAACAGTGGTCAGCAGATTTTTTGCGATAATTTCTTCCCAGTAGCAATAGTCAGCAGAACCTTGCAGCATAGACATGAAACTTGATGATGATGACAATAGCTTATCCAATGAGTTCAATTTTTTTTCTAGATGCAAAGTGCCCTACTCAAAATGTTCAGTGTACAGTGTTTAGAAACCCAGACAGCCCCAACTTGGTTCCTAGATGATTTTGAAAATGATATTGGTTTATATGAAACTGGTGAGAGAGTTCAAGATGAAGAGCCATTTTGTGGACAGACTTCTTTGAAGAATCCAACCAATATTTATGTAGCTCCTGGTGAATATGGGTTTCCTGTTTCAGTGTATAACACTGTAAGTCATTAGTGCTTTACTTGGATTGTGTTGATTTTAATACTAATAATTGAATAGATTAAACAATGAGAGAAAGCAATGTGTGGTACACAAGTCAGGCAAGATCATCCCATCCTTGTGACAATGAAATAGAACCACTTATTGATTCTACAGTCAAACCTCATTAGTACAAACTTGGTTATAATGAAAAACTGGTTACAACGAACGAACAACAAAGGTTCCGTTTGAAATGCTTTCCTATGCAATGGGCATTATTTGTAACAATGGGCATTATTTGTAACCAGAATGCTTACTGCAAAAACCTGGTTACAGCGACTTGTTTTTCACCTGAGCACAATGGGTTGTGTATATTTATATTGATATTGAACAAATGCCAGAGTGGCTTCAATAATTACGATCATAGCATGTGGCCAAGATTCCTTGTGATGCATAATAAACAATGCACACAAGACTGTTTGCGTACAATCAACCTGTCCAGTCAATGCTTGTCTGACTATAAAATCACACAAAATTATGGGTGTGATTTATTTTGAATGAACACAATGATGCAAAGTGTTGAAATATGACATCCATGTGGTTGAGAATGGCTGACGTAAACAGCAAGACAGACAGGAAACCACCAAGTCACATTAACTCAAATCACAGAAAAGTATGAGTAGACAGACAGTGTGAAAATTGGAGGTTTGGAGAAGGATAAATAAATAAGGATGTACTCACTCTCAGTTTTGACTTCACCATGTTAATAAACACTCTTATTAAACGCCGTGCCGTGTCACTTGACTGCAAGGTCAAAATGATTCAAACTATTGATTCCGGTCTTCGTCATGGTGATTTTTGCCCAAAGTTTGATGTCAAGCCGAGTATGCTTTCGAGAATTTAAAAAAAAAAATGTGAGATAAAAGAGATGTTCGAACACAGCAAGCTAGCTATGAGTTGTAAACGATTTTGTTTCTCGGCTGTCGATAATGTGGTGGAAGCGCTACTAAAATGGTTCACCACCGCACGGTCGCAAAATATTCCTATCGGAGGACCAATATTACAATCAAAAACTGAAGATCTTGCAGAAAAACTGGGTCCTTCTGAATTTAAAGCTAGCAATGGCTGGTTGGAACGTTTTAAAGGTCTCCATGTAATCACATTTAAATCTGTGTGTGGCAAGGCTGCATCCATTATTCAGACTACCGTAGATGAGTGGGTGACATCTTCACACCCTAACTTGCTTGAAGCGTACCACCCTAAAGATGTGTTCAACGCGGACTAGACTATTTGTTTTTTCGACTCATGCCAGACACTAGCCTTTAAAAATGAGAGCTGTTCTGGCGGTTAAAAGAGCAAGGAGCAAATAACAGTGATGCGCTAACATGGATGGTTTAGAAAAGTTGAAACTGCTTGTCCTTGGTAAATCAAAGAAATGTAGGTGTTCTAAAAATGTGAACTTGGATACCTTTCCTGTCGACTATGCAGCAAGACAGAAAATTCATTCTTGAAAAACGGAAAGTGTTGATGTTTGTCAACAACTTTCCTGTCCATCCTGTTGTCAGCAATCTGACATCAATCAAATTTGTGTTTTGCCGCCAAACATAACATCGAAATTGCAGCCGATGGATATGGGTGTTATAAGAAATTTCAAGTCATTACAGAAGACAGATAGTCGAGAGAATGCTTTTATCTTTTGAAGCCGGTGAAAATCTGCCACTTATCAACATTAAAGATGCCATCGACATGATACACTCGTCTTGGGTCAAAGTCGAGTCAACCTCCACATATATAGCAAATGTACATATTTTATGTATTTCATGAAGAATAATAAACATACAATGGTAATAAAACTGTATTCTCGTGTGAAAGTATGCGTCTCGTGTGTATTTGGTTTGTGTTGACTTCGTTTTAAAATCGGGGGGGGGGGCTTAGAGCGCCCTTCAAGAGGCTAATTGGTTATAACGGACTACAGTTATAACGAACTGTTTACATTGGTCCAATGCTTTTCGTTATAATGAGGTATGACTGTAGTCCTAAGTGAAAATACCTGTAACTTTATCTGTGGTGTTTGTATTGTACATATCAAAATCAAGCAGCTTATGAAAACTTTGCTTAGTTATTATCAAAGATTGTCATCAACAAAACGTGTTGCATTATCATTAACTGTGCACATCTCTATTAAAACTGATGATTTTTTTTTCCCCAGTTTTGCTTTGCTTACAGAGGGGCTATATATCCACAGTTTGAAGTGAATGTGGCATGGACTGATATTTATTTGCAGCGCACAAAACGTGACAGATGGTATAATTTTGGTGATGATTTTGTTGTGTCTTCTAATGCAGAGTAAGTTTCATTTCACAATCCATGTTTAGATGCTATGGATGATGTGGTAAGTGGTGGTGGCAGTTGTGAAAAGGATGTTGGCGTAATAGTGGTGCCATATTTGTGATGAGGGTCAATTGTGGGGTGGGGTGTTCAGTTAGGCCAACCAGTAGGCGGCCGACCGAAAAATATGAAATATCGGGTCGCGTTTTTTTGTGTTTATTATCGAGCGTGCGTTTGATTGATTCCTATATACCTCGGCTATTTACGATACCCTTAGTTTTCACGATCCGATCCAATTTTTCAATTTTCCGACTTGAGGGCAATATAAGTTTTTTTTTGGCCTTATAGTTGTAAGCTGGTCATGTGATACGTATGGTGGTGAACTGAAACAACATTCTCAGTCACGATAACAAATATTGAATTGTTATATTTGTTGCTGAAACTTAAACATCAGTGTTAATCAGGTTTCTGCATGTATGTATGGATGTCAAAATCAACACAAGTGGTCAGTGCGAGTAACACTAGCACAAAATGGTACAACATCTAGTGCTGAAGTAGCACCTGTTCTAGTGGCAAAATGTACACAATGTGAGGGGGGAAAAAGAAAAGCAAAAACAAAAAAGTTTGAATTAAAAACTACACTACACTTTTTTTAATTTTATTTATTGTAATTCAGCATTTATCAGGCAATATTTATTGTAATACAGCACTTACCAGTCAATAATTACAGTGCTACAATACTACAACATTACGTCTTGACAATACGATGATAATAACCCTCACAATAGATTTAGTACCATTTTCTCACTTGATTGCACCATTTCGTTTTAGATTTTTAACACCTATACATACCTCATTTCTGTTATTACTTGTAATGAGTAATACAATTCAAAAACAAAATACGGTACACTAGAAATAAATTCAGTGAAAAATTAATACTGTAACAGCTTTTAGTTAATCTGTAAATATTGTGTATAATATAAATATACATATACATTTTATAAACATACAGTTTGACTAATATAATACAACTCTTTACTTCCAGTAAATGGTTTCATACTTGTATTGATTTAGGAAATATATTGCAAACTGATTCTATACTACCAAGTGGTACCTACTTTGATATTCGGTCAATAACTTTTAGAAGAGAATTGGCTCAAGATTTCTATATCGACAGTTTGTTCATTGGCTCTGGTCCTGTTAGCTGTGAGTAAAAAGTTCCTTTTCAGATATAGTTTACATAATGGTTTGCACCTGCATGCCAATTTGTTAATTATATTCTTTGCGTCCTCAAATTTCAATAGTCTATTTCAACTTGATGAAAGCTTGCTGGCTTTCAGAATTAGCGACCACCATGGAAACACTCTGACCAGGACAATTTTTTTTTTATTATTATTATTATTAATCCTTTATTTCAGGCCAAAAAAGTCCCATATTAAATACATAACAAACACGAACACTAATAAATACAACGTCTAAGATTAGTCCAAAATTTGGATAAGAAAAACTGTCAGAGTTGACACAAGTACGAATTAAAGCATTATCGCTCGTAAGTAGGCGCTGACTGAAGTTATATAATGCCTTGCGCTGAAGAGATTCAAAGTTGAAAATATTTCTATTCACGCAATTACCACTGGCGCTGCTAGCCCGTTTAAGGCTAAAGATCAATCTTATAGCGTTATTATAAGCCACTCGCACAGTATTCACAATTTGTGTACGATAATCACACCAAACATTCAAACAATATATACTGTATAAATACGTTCTAAATAACAAACACTTAACGTACTCTGAACTTTTTATAAATTTTCGTAAAATAAAATTTGCCCTAGCATAAATACACCACAATTGTCGCTTCATCCTTGCCATCTGATGACACCATATAGCCCAGGTACTTTTTTCACTGAGACGAAAACAAGAGGTTTACCATACAAGTACACGCTTGGGACCCTTGTCTGTCCCCATGTTTTTGGAAAAAATGACATGCATTCTGTCTTAGTAGTGTGGAAAAGAATGTCAAACTCCTCACCATAACACTCGCAGATCTCAACGAGCTTTTTCAATGATTTGACAGAAGGTGA